TTTTAAAGCAATCTCAGATTTTTAGCTGAGAACCCGCTGTTTACCTTCAAGAGTAGAATCATTACAGTGCAGAATTTCTGGGGTGTTTCCTAGTGTTAATCATTCTTCACTGATAAGTGTATACTGCTGATGACAGATTCCTATTTGTGTTTGAAGTGTGGTGCTGAGCCAGGGAAGTTGCTAAGAGTTGTCAGATGATACTTGCTCACATGAGAGCCATTAACAGGGTGTTGTAGCCAGTGTTGGAACAACCTTGCAACTAAGGGCGAGTCAGTGCAAAAGCAAGTATGCTCTCTTTTCAAAGGCCATATGGTTCAGTCTTGTGACCAAATAATTGCCAGCTACCTAATCACATACCAGGAAACAAAGGTAGCTAAAGTCAATATTAGCTGCTGTATCTGCCGACAGATCTGCACCAGGCTTGATGGAAAAAACTCAAAAGGAGGAGGACAGAAGCTTGGATGGTTTTTGATCTTTGAAATTCATGTTTAAGGCTTCTCCTGGGGATATATATATTGCAAGATATTAAATGCAATTATCTCCCTCAATTGTAATTTTACAGTTTATTTGGAGGTGCTACTTTTTTTCTAAAAAAAGAAAAAAAAATACCCAGCAGATTGCTACAGAAGACCTACCTGTGTAGTTTTTGTTTTGTTTTTATTCTCCCCCCACAAACAGAGTGGGGGGGGGGAATGATTGTCTGGATGTTGAACCATAGTGAAGAAACTCACTTGAAGCTGTATCTCTTCAACCTGTGTTCAGTATTTTAAAGAAGCTTTGAGAGAGCACAGCTCAGCTAAGAAAATGTGCGGAGGCACTTCAAAAACAGCGAACAGCACAGGAGGGCAAACAGACAGAGCAAGGAGTGGTAATGATGCTGCTAGCTCACTTGGAAATAACTTACCTAACACAGGATTGGATAAAAAGACCAAAAGATCTTTGGCAGAACATAGCACCAGTCACAGGAGCACTGTCACTAAATTGCTACAGACCAGGTATGCAGATACATTTTTTTAAAACAATTTTCAGAAAGAATTTGTGTTTTAGCTTGAATAATACTAGAAATCGATCCATCTGCCTAAAAGGCTGTAGTGTTGATGAATCTGAAGTGCTGTTCTGCATATGGAAATTTTTATTGAGCAGAGGATTAATGACACCGCAGCCATTCCTCCTTGTTTGTTAGTTGTTGAAACCACATTCGTATACAGGTTTGTATGTAAATGCAAACTGAGTTCTAAACAATGATTGCTGGGAGAGACCTTTTAACTTGTAAGGCACAGAAAGAAAGGTGTGTCTGCGGCTGACAGTGCACTTCCTTGCCAAAAGTTTTATTTCTATTCCTTTTTGTCTCCTCCCAGGTCAATCAGTTGATTGATGTGCAAAAAAGTTATGAAATTTAGGAGTGAGAAGACAGGCATATTATTTTGTTTGCCAAACCTCCAGACTCAAATCATGTCAAGGTTATCTCAAACTAATGTTCAGTCTGGATACTGTTGGGCTGTAA